GAAATGTTGCAACAGATTTTGAAACAGGGAACTAAGTTGTCATGAGACAGATGCTACCTATTGCAAACCATTTGCAAAAACTGCCATCTAGGTTCTCGCACATTAATCACAGAAGATCTTTAAGTCTTATTCTTCTACATTAAATAATATAGTGTCTGACTGCTTGTGTTTCATGCTGCATTGGACTTTAATGTTGCAATGTGATTATGTCACCAGATCTCAGCAAATAGTATGTATAAAGTCATTACTACTGGTAGGACTGATATGAGGCTAAATGACCAAATAAATAAAAATAAGACCCAAGTTGTAATAAACTGAAATTATTAAAATACCAGATAAAACCTTTTTCAATGAATATATTTGACATGTAAAGATGTAAAGACCTTCCATATTTACACTAGAAACTAGGATGCAGATGGGTGTGTTATAGGTATTTTTGCTTGATTGAGAGTTGTCTCAGCTTATATCGCCCTCAGCTGTACTCGATTCTATTTGCTCCTACCACATCAAAGCCATGTAGGCCCCGTCCATTTTTTCCTTTTTAATTTTCTGGCTCCAAACAAGCATGTCCATTCACGAAACAGATGGGTGACATCACACATACTGCATACTGCAGTTGTGGTTCATACAATTGTATCAATTTGACTGTGAATTAATGCTTAAAACATGCTGCACATGGCACCTTTGATAATGACAAAAGGTAGACAAAAGGCTACATAAATGGCACAACCACTTTACTAATTAACTCATTACCAGACATTGACTAATGTCCCCTCTAAACAAGAGATAGGTGAGGTGTGTACCAACAGCTTAGAACAAGGCTTCACTACACAGGCTGTGTGTGGCTACAGAAGTAAATGTGTGTTTAAACAATTCATAGCCATACATTCATTCAGACCTTCATTTAAGCCTTGAAAATCATTTGCGGTGATGCTGAGGTACAGAGAAATACAAGGTAGATTTATTTATCTGTTGCAAAATGATAAATAAAATAAATCTACCTTGCACACTACACAGAGTTAAACAAAATAGGACAATACTGTGTGAAAACAACTGCATACTCAGGTGAAGTGGTTTGAGATCATCAGCCAGATCTGCCATGAGGCTGGGGTCTCTGCCTTTAGCTATCTGTGTTTAGGATCAATCCCAGGCCAAAGAGGACCACACTGGACCATTGTTGTAGGATGGGGGAGGAATGGCTCCCGTGAAAAGGACCCTAATCTGGTGGGTGCAAAGTTGGTGTTAGTAGTGGAGCAGTGAAATGAAGTCTGCAGCAGAGGGGAATGACACAAAGCTTTGAGGCTGTCTAAATGGTAATTTGAACATCATTTTGACACTGAGTCTGATCATTTACATTTAGTATTTGCCCTTTGGGTTCCTTTGAACCATATCAATGTTTCAATGAAAATCTGATTACTCCTATTAATCAGAACACTGGTGTGCATGTAAACGTACTCAGTGTAATTTTTTGCTCCATGTGTTGGGAGAAGTTTTCAAATTCATTTAACATTTTATCAAACATTAGAATGCTTTTCATTCATATAGTGTTTGGGCACTTTTGTTAAATTGAGTTAGCCTGCCACCTTTTGGACAAATTAGAGAATTACTTAAGGTCAACAAAGACTTTTAAGGAGGTCTTTTTGAATCTTGGATTAAGCACAAACAGGAGTTCCACAGAGTTAAGTGCATCACAGTGAGATATCGATGCGGCTGTGGTTATTAATTTAGTATTGAATTGTATGCAGTGTATATTGGGGATGATGCTCTAGATAGACATCCTCTGAATTGCGTCATTACTTAAATCATAATGAAACAAAATTGCATTGTATTTTTAATAATTTAGCAGAGTGTTATCATTCAACATGTTCAGTCAACATGTTATAGAGTGTGGATCCTTATGGTATGTCAGGTTCAGTCTGTCTCTAGTTTTGGAACACGCTGCTCTCTAGTGGTCAATATACAGAACTGCATGAATCATGGATAACATCCATCCATCCATCCATCCATCGTCAACCGCTTATCCTGCGCACAGGGTCGCGGGGGGCTGGAGCCAATCCCAGCTGACATCAGGCGAAAGGCGATGGATGGACAGGTGGCCAATCCATCGCAAGGCCACACATAGACAAACAACCAGTCACACTCACACCTAAGGACAATTGAGGGTCGTGGATAACATCACTAAATAGAATTCGTGTTGGGTGGGTGTAGCTGGGTGAAACGACTGAAGTGATTTGGAACTGGCCTTTTTAACACTGGGGGAAAATTAGTCTTTAAAATGTAGGTGATCGCTTTCATTGGTTTTGCTGTTTTTCTTTCCATGTAGGAGAGAAGAAGGACCATGACATATACAGTACAGTTTAATATGGTAAATGGTCTGGACTTGTATGGTGCCTTTGCAGTCTTTCTGAAAACTCAAAGCACTACACTTTACACTAAATCACATGCACAACAAAAGCAATTTGGGTTCGGGAGCAGACTGGGGGCGCCTTCTGATTACTGGATGACCGTTCTGTGGACTGTGGCCCCTAAGCCACAGCGCCCTAATAGTAACCACAGACTGATAACAGTTGCAGTGTTAAATCAGATTCTCAGAACTGAAGTTGCATGTCTTACTTTTCTAGTGTTTAATAAATCATAAGAAATAACATTCAGATTCTCTTACACCCCTGTGCAGATTCTTTGCTAATGCAGAATGTTGAGTAGAAATGCTGCATTTAGTTTCATAAATGAGCGGAGTTTTGGTGTTGAGTATTTTATATTTATCCTTCACCTAAGGCTGAAGTATAGTGTGTGTTGAATGACTGACACAAATACTGAATAACTAAAGGACTGAAAAGGTGAATTTAAAGATTATAAAGAAGCTAGAGAAAGAACGGAAGCAGAGTGTTATCATTTAATCAAGAGCTTTCATTCTTTTTGACTTGAAAAACACATTGTTAGTTAGTTGTTATATTCATTTAAGGAAATTAACGTGTTGCCCCTTATTTTATGCTATTGTTACTAATTTTGTGCAATACTTCATATCGATTGACTGTTTGTGCGGCATAACATTTTCATTAAGAATTATAACATTTCTAAAATTTAACAATTTACAATACAGGGGGGAATTTGTTCTTGCTACAGATTTGAACAGCCTTTATTCTATTTCAAATATATTTTACGTGTGAATACTTACCTGTGTATTTGATCTCAAATATTAACTTTGCATACTCAGCATATATATACACACTACAAAGCAGTAAAGAGTAGCATTTTATAGTTTTAGTATTTTCTCAATTGAAGTAGTTTTTTTTTTACAGCCATTATTTATTTTTATTCTTGTAAGTTGTTTGTAAAAATATACCTCTTTTAATCTTGTTCAACATGTTAATATATTACATTTTGAATGATAAGTCTGTTGCATATGCTAGAAAGTACCACACAATCCATGTAACTGAAGAAAAAAGCTTTACAGTGTTCGTGCTTTTTTTATTTACCTTTATTGAACACAAGAATTTCTGGCAGAATGCAAAGTCAAATTGTGTTTTCCTTCTTTTCTTAGTTAGTATTCAGTATTTACACCGGTGAAAGAGGACAGACAGACAGAGGAGTGGTAGCCTACCGATGTCTGACCTACAGTATGAGATCTGTTGTTTACAGAGAGAAGAGGGAGCTCTGGATCAATGACCAGCTGTTGGCAGTGAAGGCTGAAGACTACTGTCTAACAGAATATGAAGCAGTTGTGTGTTACACAGTTGTGTGTTGGTGACTCTTACTATGAGAAAGAGAACCTTGGCATGATGTTTTTTCTACTTTTCAAAACCTAAAACTATTCTTGTTGCTGTGTCTCCTCCTCCCAAATGCTGAGCAAAATGAAAAATATCTTTAAAAAAAAGTCTTTATTCTGACTGAATCAAGTGGTGGACTCAAAGAGAAAAATGGTTGCTTCTATGTCAGTCTTGCATTTTTGAGGTATCTGAATGAGGGGGACTTGCTCACCCAATGATATCAGGAGCCGTGACATGGGTAGAAAAAGTTTTCATGTAAAGTCGCACAAAAACTGGTCCCACATTTGCAATTACAGAACATTTTCAAGCTTTTTGGACTAAACTGACATGGTTCTTTTTGGATATTTTCACACTGTATATCAGCAGAAACAGTAAAATGTGCTCATGACATCGCTCCCTTCTTTTAAAATTACACTTCAGAGCTTCAGAACGGTTTCTCTTGAAGCAAAAACAAAAAGTTTGGGTAACACAACACTTGAAAAAAGATAATACAATACAATACATGAAGCTTTCATTAATTTTTTTGTCATGTCAAAAACTGTGATATTAATATCCATTTCTAATATAATTTGCATGCTTGGAAATCCAATAATTTCAGATATTTTAGAGAATATAGGACCTGAGCAAAGTCTCATTGTGTCATGTTCTCAGTGGTAATGGTTTGCTAGATGTCATTCTCATGTGATTTAGGATGAGGTGTCAGTATGTCCAAATGTCTTTTAAGGGTAATTCTGGTTCATGGTTTGGGTAGACAGGTCGACAGGATCTTGTCCACAAGACCTCTAGTGGTGCACAACCGCACTAAGTACATTAGGTCAAAGTTGAGCCAGAAAGTTAGTCTATAAACTGTGATAGATATTGGCAGATTTTGGTATTATAATTTGCCTTTCACTTTTGTTTGTTTTTTTCACATAAGTTTGGCTGTTTTTAGCCTGTCTGACCGTCTGACTGCTTGTGTTTCTTGCCTCATTGGACTTCTTTTTAGTGATGTTTCACAGATCTCAGTACTTAACTTGGCGAGCACAATATTTAGCATGACGATAGAAATTATGACAAAGCCTACCAAAATAACATAAACCAGAATAATCCTTTAACATGGACAGTGTAAAGGACACATCATACACACCAGAACACATTAACTCAGCCATTCAGAATCTATGACGTAATTTGAACAAACCACTGCTTAACTTACATCTCTGGAATGTAGTAAATGAAAAAGCAAATCAGCAGGAAGATGGAGATGTGAAACTTTTAATGGACAGACACTGAGAGGAATGGAATGCATGCCACCATTTTCTTATACAAAGGCACTGTGTCTTTCCAGTTTGCTGCTGTCATACTTCTGTACATTGGTACATCAGCTACATCTTTTCACAATCAAACTATTTGCTCAATTCTATGACAAAAGGACACAATGGATTCACACATTCACAGTGTACTAGCTTGCAGTCTAAAGTAGGAGGAACACTGTACAAAAAAAGATGGCGAAACCTTCCAAATCCACAGCAGGGTACTATGGGTTGAGAACATTCTGAAATCCTTTCATTTATTTTCTATGCATAAAAAGAGGACTTTAAACACCACAGACCAATTTCCTTTCTGGTTACTTAAAAGAGGCCACATTTCTTCTCTAGTCAGTTTTGTTGCATAAAAGGACCACTGAAATGCTATGCTTAATGGGATGAGTGTGTACATTCATTTACAGATAGTAATAGTCTCTCAATTTAAGCCAGATTTCAAAGTAAGACTATGCGACTCAGCACAGTTTTCAATGGGAATCTTTAGGACCTGTGACTGCTTGGACTTTTTACTTATTTTGAAGGGGCCAGTCTGCATTTGGTAGTAAACTCATTGGTTATCTTGCCAAATATGTGATGAGGATCACCTCCATCTGGGTATTTCTGTCCAGTGTGCATGCTAAAATGTTAGCATGTAGTATGCTAAATAACAATAACAAAGTGACATTATTCAAAATCTTGATCTTCATCACTAATTAATGTCCATTACAAACTAAGAGTACAAAAAGGTAAAGGTGCTTTGAGCAGGTTGGTCTGAGCTGGTCTATAACTGGTCATGGCTGGACGGAGATAGTTTGGTGCTGGTGAAAGTGATATTGAGATCACAGTTGTTGGTAGGCAACATCAGCATGTGCTCAAAAATGATTGAACTGATCAGAGCAGGACCAGCACTAGCTTCCTCTACTGAAAGAAATAAACTGCTTACTGCTTATGGTGTGTTATGGCTGTTTTTGCTAGTTAGCCATCTAAAGCTGACTTGGAATAGCAATCATAAAGAGAAATATTTTTCACTAAATGTTCATTATATTGCCTTTTTAACAATGCCGTTAAAACTCCTTGATGGTCTAGACTGGTGATGTCTGTATGAAAATTAGCTAATGTTCTTAGATTAGACTAGCCCTACCAAACATAGCAAGGATGCTAATCACTGCCACAGGCAAAACTAAATGCAGTTTCCTGCTTTCATGGTTGTAGCTGTATTGAGTGTTGTTTCAGCATTAAAATTATTTACCGGAAATTAAATACACTCCAGATCTAAGCTGCCTAACATGCTGTATTCAGTTACTTATTTAGTATACTGCTAGCTGTCTGTGGGTATAAACATACACACTGAACAGATATAATTATTGGAGACACAGATAATGATCGTGTAATCAGTCCTCTCAGATACTGGGTAAACTGACCTATGGGCCAAACTGCCCAAGGAAATCTGTGTAGTACTCTTTTGTCAAACTCGACCAAGCAACTGTTTAACACGGCACTTTACAATATGAGTTCTCTTTGTGGCTTTGTATTATTTATTTAACTAAACAAATCTGAGTTTCCTGTTTTTAGAGAGCCTCCAACATCTGACCAGGCATAACAGATAAAGACAAAATTCCTAGGCCAACTGTGGTTAATTTCATACTTTCCAGACATTGTCCAGAAAATTTCCATTTCAACCTTGTGCTAAGAAGTGAACTTTGAGTAAAGTGGTCAACTGGACTAAACCTACAATACATGTTACATCACTACAACTAATTAAAACCTTAACAGCAAGATGGTGGAAGCAGAGGTGACACATACTCACACTGACAACAGGTGTGGTGAAAGAAGACGATGGCTGAGGGAATCAAATGTTTGGTCACTCAGAGGTGTAGAAATATCAGCAAGCTGAACCCTCAGACCAATCAGTTATAAGCAGTGAAGAAGAGTGTTTAACACAGAGAAGGCAACAATGGTTATGAACCAAAGAAGAAGCTAGGGATGGTTAACCCCAAGGAAACAGAAGGTGATATTCGAGACCAATGTTAGAAAGTGGAAACTGGTGTGTCAAGAATTCAACAAGTTTGGCCAATAAGCATCCAAGGGCTTGTTTTCATTCAACAGAAACGTCTACTTCTCAGTCCAAACCTGCTGATGGAAACTGTTTTCACAGAACACGTTTGGCCTTTTGTGTCACTGTTAAGCCCAATCTGTCAGGTAAAGAATTGGTCCGAAATGCTCAAAGGAGACCTCTGGAAAAGGCAAGGTGTATGCATATGAGAGAGAAAGCGACAACGATAAAGAAAATCAAATGACAATATTAACAACACACACATAAGCTGTGTCTCATTACAGGTGCCACCTCCTTCGAAGAACATGATTTACGAGGGACTGAAACGAAAGCTAGCGGGCTCCAGAGATGAGACGGTTTACAGAGAATTCACCATAGCATAATTTCTAGTTCCCATTCCCAGCTTCACAGAGACCAAAACTAATGGCATGTCCTCATCAACTCGTAAGGTAAAAAAATGACCAGTAAGAATATGCCCTCAACAGCCCCAGATAGTACATAGTTCAGGCAAAGTTCTACCATTGTGTTTCAAGACACAATGGATAACTGGTGTCAACAGTGTACCATTAATGATAATTCTATCCATATAACTTAATATACTTTCACTACATGTCTACTTCCAAGAAGTAACAGTGGACGTTCAGCCTGGTTTCCATGTAGAATCCTTTTTCATTGGTCCAGCTTATACAGTATCTTTACCAGTGATCATGTGAATACACCAGGTTTATTTGGTAAAGATCATTTTCTGACTTAACGAGTTAATGAGGACTGAAAGCAGTATGAACAATTGATTGGTGTTTTAGAACAGATAAGTATACAAAGGACACCCAAGTAGAAGCATCAAATTCAGGCAAAATTATCCTTTGGAGTGGGACACCTCAGTTAAGCTGTTAAGATGTATTCAGTCTTGAAATCAAATTGGATTTTGAGGGATGTGGCCCCTGAAAAGGAACACAGCTATAATCTTCTATGTGACCATTTCCTTACCCTAAACCCAACCCAGCCATCTCCCAAAAATTCTGTTTATATACAGCTACAGCAAATACGTTTTGAAAGAAACTTAATGTCATCCAGATTATGATTATTATCAACATAATGAGTAAAGGTTTTTAATGAACGTATCTGCAAAGTAACAAAATGTTCATAATGAATGCAAAAAAATCACAATGTTTTTTTCCCCTGACAACATTCACCTGTGGCAACTAAAGCATGACAGACGTTTTTATGGTTATGTTTATACAACACAAAGCACTTGTTTAAGGGTTAGGGAAAATCATCATCTTGATAAAATATTAAAAAGTCAATGGTGGTGTGAGAGTGGATGGGTTTACTTTCAATATTTAACCAAAACCACAATGTTTTAATTCCAGTTCATTACAACTTATTGTAGTTGCCTTAAACAAACTGCACGGGGGACTTTGTGCGCCCTCCATTCATCCCAATCACCTGCCTACTAATTCCGTATGGAACAAAAATGTAGCACTTTGCTGACTGAAAAAACAAAAAACAGTTCACATTATCATTACAACAGTTCTGTTTTTATCATAATGTATAGGCAAAACCATTTACCAATATACATGTACGTACTGCATAAACATAATTTTAAGGGAGACATGGTTGAAACCCCTGAACCTTCACTTTAATAGCATGAAAAATATTTCCCCGGTGTCTTCTTACATTTCTCATAGCTTGGGCTAAATTATTTCTGGACCTGAACCATATGAAGACACCATTCAAGAAAGAAAAAAAACATCTAAAAAGGAGGAACCAAATGACAGCACACATGTACAGAAATACAGTAACTTTGCAAAAAACAGGCATGCTAATGATCTATCTCTAGCCCTGGAAATAACACATTAAAAAAAGCTAAATAGTCTGGACATTATTTAAACACAACAAAATATCGACAAAGGAAAAAAGACCCATAATCCATTACCACAATGGTGACCATACTGCATAAAGTAGTATTGGTAATGTACTCTACCAGTCTTATGTGTGTATATAATGAGGGCAGTAATCTGTGAAGTAAAGCTACAGTCCAACCATGGTTATCTAGAGTAAAATAGTTTAGATTCTGTTCCGTATTTAACAGTTGATTTAATATTACATACAAGAGAGAGGGTGAAATACAAGTATGCATTTTGCTTTTTTCTGTGGACTAAGGCATGTGCATGAGGTCTTTACATTTTCCTGGTCAGAAGACACTGTAGAAAGAGACCTATCATTTCTCTTTTTTTTTATTTTTTAGCTTTTCTGTTGCATTTGTTGTTTTTTCTCTGATGCAATGGGGTGCTGTGTGACATTGCTTTGAGGTTTCAGTGACTGTGACCCCCCACAACCCCCCACCTTGAAAAACCCACACCCAACAACCCTCCCTACCCCAACCACACTCTTCTTCCCGCTGCTCTTGGGCAAGGAGATTACGCTTTACTTTCGTTGCCATTCGTCTGAGGAGCCTCGTTGGGAATTGTCTTCACCTCGGCTGTGGCGTTCTTCACCTCCGTCTCGCCTTTAGTGTTATCATCCTTCACAGTCTTACCACTATGGGGACAAACACAGGAGCGAGAGAGACCCAGAAAGAGACAAAAAGAGAGGAAATTCTGTTAACAGTGAATCACTAAGTCTCCCTCTCACCGCTAAACTGGCTGCTCTGAGCTGCCTTTTGTGTCATTTTCAAAGAAAGAAGGGGAAAAAATGGGGGGAAAACATGCAAGATGCTTTGAGGGAATTTGTTTTCCCTCCTGGAACTGAATGAATTTCACACATAATAGGATCAAGCTCACTATCCTAGCCAGACATCAAATAAGAGTACATGGATGTCACAGCTATTTTCAAGGAACAATGAATGCTGATGTGGAATGAGACAGGGTCGGTACAGTAGGCACAATGCATGAAGGAATGAAAGACTGAGGCATAACCTACAACACAAACTACAATACACAAGAGGATTACACGCCGTCTGGACTGAGCCAAGACACAATGGAAAAAGACTTTAAAGCCATACTTCACTTAAGTCGAACATTTTCTGGTGTTAGCATATGTACCTTTTTTGTAATACATTTATAGTAATGTGCTGCTGTGGCTTCTATTTTGAAAATGTGATGCATCAATGTTGTGTCACATACAGTCATCTCTTCTTCTGTTCTCTATGTCAGCTCTCAAATATCCATTTTAATCAATACACTTCTCTTTCCTGCTGACACACATACATGCTCTCTGTGGGCCTTATAAAGTTATGCCAGGGACTGACCCACATACATGATCCACAAATACATCCAACCCATACAGACTTTAAACTGAAACAGTCTTCATATAAATGGCTATCCTGAACATTGTGCTAAAATGAAGAACCTTGGGTGTTTGGAAAAAAAACTAAACAATTTGTTCCCCCTGGGAGCATGACTGTTGTCTACAAATTTCATGGCAATCTGCCTGTGAGATTATGAAATACCTTCCATGCAAAGTTGAAGTTTTTGCCCTGACGGTGCTAGAGAAAAGGTCATAGCATGTCTAAATTAGAAAGGGTTCACCCTATGGGGTACATGAATGCATCCAGTAAATGCCATTGTGTCAATTTACATTTAGATGTACAGATGGATGTTTTGGCCTGAAAAGCTCAGGGAGTCACCAAACACATGAGTCAGATTCAGGAGATGACAAATATCCATTAATTTGTAGGTGTGATCAGGCAGTCATGTTTTTGTATATAATGTGTGAAAATTATTGGACTCAACTAGGTCAGATTAATGCAATAAAGTAAATAGGTCACTGCTAAACCCACTAACTAAGCTTATTCAAATAATTGTATCATAACTAAAAACATACACCTGCCTTTTATCCTAAAAAAGCAAGCAAAAACTTAAATAAATATGAGGGCTGTGAGTATAAATTTATTCTGTTGTTGGAAAACCAAATTATTCATAGTTCTTCTATATTGTGCACAACCTGAAAGTGCTATTACAATTTGTTGCAGCTTCCTCAAAGTCAGTGCCAACCTTATCTGTGTGTTCACCTACACTATCTATAAAATTGTGCAAAGCAGGCAAGAATCCTGATAATACAGTACATGACTACACAAGCTCCCTCAAATCAATGTTTTTAGTCAACTTGATAATATTTCAGCCAAAGCATGAACTCAACAACCACTATGCTAAATTCATACTCTTGTCAGCTTCAATCTACACTTGATATCTTCTGGACATGTTCAGTTAAAACAATTCTACACATTGGATGGTACTATACAGTCTAATCTTCTAACATGAACTGTCTTCATTGTGATTTGTCACAGGTTGCCATGAATGTTGCTCCAATGTAACCTTTAAATGCTGTCTCCTTGATCACCAACTCGCTGCAGTTTCTGACCTTTAAATTGTAAAACTCTTTCATGCGGCACTATCTTTAACTATGTCACTCTTGATTTTAAAACATGCTCCTGCGTAATCAAGAGTAATTCAATAACTACTCTGATTGAAACCTGCTTTTTGATACATTGTTTTAAACGTGGTGTAAAACGACATCATGAAGGACATTTACATATGTGATATGTAGGAGTGTATAATCTGTTGGAATGGTCTGCAAAGATACTTTTCTACTCAAGAGCGAAAAATGGGTCCAGAGGAAGAGTACGTCACTCAGAAATCCAATAAACCCACAAGAAACTTGACAAGACATTTCATTTTTGGGATGCTGAAGAAGGATCACCACATAGATCAGTGGGAGAGCTCTGATTCAGTCATGTCAAAGAGTTATTAAGAAAAGTTCCTACAATGACAAGTTTGGTTATATCAATGTGATGTTGAGCTGACAAGAGCCCTGCTTCCAACTAGCACTCAACTCCCCATACTTCATCACTGACATCATGCATCATTTTTTGGCCATCTGAGTAAGCAAAGTATTCGATGAAGGGGGGAGAGAAAGAGACCTGATTGTCAGTAAGCCTCTGTAATTCATCTTCTGCCATAGCTTCCTCTTCATCCTTACGAGAGTGTCAGGAATCAGGAACATCTGCAAACTCCTACTCCTCCTACTACTCCTATGGGTAAAACGCCAAAATATTCACCCTTCATAGCACCACTGAAATAAGGGTTTTCTACAGGAAACAAAACAGAAAACAGAGGTGTCTTTCTGAGATTGGCATTTTAAATGGCCTTCAATATCTATTATCCTTCATCAAAATGACAAATGTCACTCTGTGACAAGTATTTAAATTTACTTGAACACACTTATTTATCCCTTCACAACTGAGAGGAGTATTCCACAAAAAGATATCTCTCTACTCTTTCATAGAGTGAACAAGAATTTCTCATTTGAGTGTGCAGCAGGACTTAATGTTTCTTGCTATTTTTTGTCACGTACTCTAGTGAAGACAAACTAAGCTCTGGTATCTTGGCCTTGGTTGTTGTTAATTACTATGAGCTATAGATCGCATTCTGTGGCATTCACTTACTTAAACATGGTACATAATAGACTCATGTTTGTTTTAAGTTAGCAGTGCATAATGTAAAATTTTGAAGAACTTAAGGGCTAATTTTAATAGTTTGGACAATCATTATCGTCTTTATCATTGGTTAAGATAACATTGTATTCATCAAGTCTTATCATTGTCCTATAAACAAAAAAATAATATTATGGATCTTCCCTGCCATTGTTGAGTCACCAAAATTTGGTGAATTCAAAACTTTTTCTTTTTCTTTTGCCAAGAAGCATAAAAAGCAGAAGATCATTGCTGCTAGAGCTTGGACCATTGCTGGATAGATGCACAGATAAAAAGGAAATAAAATTAGAAAAGTTGTGTGCATTGTTTCTGTGTGTACATTGTCAGAATTTCAGTATTTAATGATTTGAAAACCAAAGTAAACGCATCCTTAATGTCAGTAACTACGGTGAAAGATAAATCACAGAATTGGTCTGCAACTATGATGAATGTATCGAACAGACAGTTGGGGTTAATTTTCTTTTCAGTTTGGCTAACATTTGTTGGTCATCTGACAGCTTATTTTTCTTGCTCTGTTTTAATTTTTTTTAATGATGTTCCATGTTTTCTCATCTTAGCAATTATCTAAGTAAAATCATACTGACAGAAATGATGGCCACAACTACAAAAATAAGAGCCAGGTGTTAATGTACTGGATTTATCCTTTTAATGTTCTCCATATAAGAATCACTGCATATGTGTATGTATGCTAGTGATTACTGGAGGTACTGAAAGTACTTATGTAAGTACTGCTGGAAGACCTTGAGTGTGAACAAGGTGTATTCTAAAAAGATGCATCATTCATCTATTTGTTTTCCATAATGATTTATCTGGTTAATCAGAGTTAATCAGAGATAATGTGGGTGAAATAAAATTAAGTGTATGGTTGGAGAAAGGTTAACTCCATTAAGTGAGCAAACAAACAGGTGGAGGGTGGAGGTGGTGGTTGAATGAAGACAAGCATGCACTGGTGGCATCCCAATGGATTGTATTCCTGTGCCATTTACCTGCAACGTTTATTGTTCTTAAAGGAAAATTCCACCCTTAAATGTTCCTACAAAAATCATCAACCTGAGATATTCAGTATATTTCAGGAAGCATTCTGCATTCTGCAAGTATTGCAAATAATGTTATTTGGCAATTTTGCTTAAAGTATTTTACATCCTGCTTTTTTACACCCAGAAAATACTTTTTTTTTCATTAAAAGGCTTGTACATATATTTATATATACACATATGTGAATATACAACATATCCTGCAAAATTGTGCATGTGGGGATCTGACACCAAAACTCTCTGCATTGAAGGGTGGACTTTTCCTTTAAAAATGGCACACTTCTGGACTATTGGGATGTGACCAGAGCAATAGCGACAAGTTGAGGAATGGGGATATGGCAGTGTTCATACTCATTTTGGGCTGGTGTGGTTGAGTCTGTGCACAGGGTATTGGGCACTTCCTTGGTCGGGCCGTCTACTTGTAAGTCCTTATTCTGGGTGCTGTCAGGGGCTTTGACTGGGTCACGCTGGCTCTGTAGCCCGTCGGCATTAGCAGAGGGTGGGCTGACGGGCTCTGAGACAAGGGGCGTTGGGTTGGATGAGGGGGTAACTTTAGGGGTGTCGCTCAGGTCGACCAGGGGCCCAACATCAGGTTGGGTGTTAGCTTTAAGCGAACTGGACTGGGCAGCAGGGCAGTTTTTGGGGGAGGACTTGGCAGGGGCAGCTTTGGTTGGGCTTGAAGCGCTGGTGGTTAGCGTGGTGCTCTCACTAGCAGGACTGCTCTGCGCCGTGCTAAAGCTCTCAGCAACTGAGTTAGTGGCAGTGGAGGGGAGAAAGTTTACCACCGTGGAGGTGGTGTCTGCAGCAGCGGGCCTGTTTGGTGGGGAGGAGCAGGACAAATAAGGGAGGGAGGAGTGGGGAGTGGACACGGGAGGAGCATAGAGCCACCAGAAAAGTGAGGGAAAGAAAGAAAAAAGACAACGAGAGAAATAAAGGGGTAGAGGGAGAGTGCAGGTCAGGGAATAAACAAGGCAGAGTGAGTGCTTCTGTGCTACAGTGAAAAAGTAAAATCTACACAATCAAAATGTTAGCAACAAAATATTTGTGGAGGGGTAAATAAAAAATAATACAACAATACAAAGACCCAAGAAAAAGGAGGGATTGTTGTTGGTCTGAATGGGTCTGAATGAGTTAGTGGCTTGGCAACCCTATTTAAGACTAGGTTAGACACTCCTAAACTTTGATTTGAAAGGATGAAAACAAGAATTTATGTAAATTACAGTTACTATAAGGTTCTATAAAGATCCATAACAATGTATAATGGCAGTATAATGATGATAATAATAATAATAAAAAAAATTATGACATTTCTGACTATCTAGTCCATTAAGACAATTCATTTTATTTATGATTCACCTCTCTTATCAAGACTATGCAGATAGGCCTAAGTCTGAGACAATTATTACATTTGGGAAGTCCTGTTCCATACTCACTCAGGTTCTGTCAAAGGGGTGGTCTCATTGGGCTCAGTGGGAGGCCCTCCTTCTTGGTTTGGGGTGTGTCCTTCCTCCGTTCTCACCTCAACAATGGGCTCCTTAGAGTCATCTTTCCTGTTGTCAGAGAGCAACAGACTAGTTAGCAAGCTAAGACACTAACTTTATTTGCTGTTAACCTATTAAACCCCATAGTGATGGTGTCTTCCCCCCCGACCACTTAAATGAATTAAATCAAAAGTAAACAGAAGAGAAGCTGTGCATGGAAACCTAATAAAAATTAGAACCACTACTGTTATTGTACAATACAATAGGAGAATTAAATGTGGACTCTTAATATGTCATCTAAAGCTGTACTAGTAAAAGATTTAATATCAGATTATCACTTTGATTTATTTTGTCTTACTGAAACCTGGCTAGATGATGAAGAATATGTTATCCTAAATTAATCCATTCCCATATTATCTCATATTATTACTCACATTTCAGATTACAATTCGACACAAGTCTATAAATCAATTTGAAACTTAAATCAAATTATATCTCATTTGAATGCCTTGTTCTTTTAATTTTTTACGCCCAACCTGGAAAACACTACAGCCAATTCTATTTGTTATAATGTACTACGCTCCTGGTCCATGTTCTCAATTTTGAGTTTTTATCAAGTTCAGTCCTTAAAACAGATAAAGAAATGATTGTAGGTGATTTTAACATCCATGTGGACATCAACAATGGCCCTAGTACTGCATTTATCTCATTGTGACATTTGATTGGCTTGGAGTGTTCATAAACCCACTCACTGTTTTAACCACACCCTCGACTTTGTTCTGGCATATGGCATTGAAATTGAACATTTAATAGTCTTTCCACAGAATCCCTTTTTATCTGAATTCCTATTGCTGGACTACATGCCACTAGGCAAAAAAACCCAAAATAAACAAATCACTAGATGTATATCTCCCAAATTGATTATTTTGTTGATAGTGCTGCAGAGCTCACTGCGAATGACACTCAACTCTATTGCCCCTCTGAAAAAGAACACAATAAAACAAAGACATGTTGGTGCCAAATATCAACTGATTACATATCATGATTCATTTGCTATAAATCTTTTTCACATGAGCCGTTAAATTTGTATTTGTTTTGCTGTGTTCATAGCTGATACAATGAGAGACTGTTCAAAATATTTAACTGGATTTTTGATCAACAAAGTCTATAATACTATAATTTAATTTTGAGATGATTAGGTGTTTACAGGGTAATCTGAGTTTTTCCTTATCCAAAGAGAGGATGTCATATGCCGTACAGATTGTGAGAATAATAATAATTTATTATTTGTGATTTTGGGCTCTATAAATAATATTGACTTTACAGTTCTGAATATTTTACTCACAATGCTTACTGTGCACTTTAACAGTGGTAAAATTTTTTAGTAGTAAGTCAACCTATAACAATTTTAATCTATGAATTGTAACATTTTTGCAGTTGAATATATAACTGGAATTTATTGCCCAACCATGATCAACAAACTATATAACTACAGTTAAATAATTCATATTATCTAGGACAGGCAGGGTGTAGACTAGTTAAGATGAATGAAATAGCATATAGCTGAGATGCAGTAATTTCAGTTTAGCGGTTTCTGAATCACAGTAAGTAGTATCAAACTGATGGAAATTTTATTGGCATAGGAAGTTGTGGAAACTTTTTTTCCCCTTAAACAATCATAGGGTGTCAACAGTTCCTCAATGATAAATAAACCACTCTTTACCTTTCTTTTAATCATATTAAGATAGAATTGATGGCAATCTTCTCATCTTCTCCATTTAAAGCTACATTTATTTTATTTAATAAAAACAAGCTGTAAAAACAGCATTTGACTATATTTTATAAAATTTTTCATGGTGAACATGCTAGCAAAGAATTACTTGTACAGAAGAAACAAAGCAATATTGCAGTTCATTTTGTGTGTCAACCTCCATCCATCCATTGTCAACCGCTTATCCTGCGTACAGGTTCACGAGGGGCTGGAGCCAATCCCAGCTGACACCGGGCGAAAGGCGGGTTACACCCTGTACAGGTCACCAGTCCATCGCAGGGCCACACATAGACAAACAACCACTCACGCTCACACCTAAGGACAATTTAGGGTCACCAATCAACCTAGCCTGCATGTCTTTGGACGGTGGGAGGAAGCTGGAGCCCCCGGAGAGAACCTGCAAACTCCACACAGAAAGGCTGGGGCAACTGGTTTGAACCCACTACCTTCTTGCTGTGAGGCGACAGTGCTAACCACTGCACCACCGCGCCGCCCATGTGTCAACCTAATTAATTTAAATAACATAAAGTGGGTTTTTAGAGCTTTTTTGAAAACAGCAGCCAACAATAATTCAAGTTGTTTAAACAAAAACATAGAAGAAATGCATCATAAAATGGCAAGGATGAAGTTCCCTTACGTGAATGCTGCCTTGCCCTCCTCTATGTCCTTGTTCTTAGCACCTGGCCCAGCCTTCCCACAGAAGTTAACAGCAATGCACATGAGGAGTCCACACTTGTTGAGGAAGTAGCAGGTGACGTCCACGCCCACCAACAGCAGGAAAAAGACAACAATGAGGATGCCTACGATGGCTCCGGTGCCCAGGCCTGAGCCACCGTCCATGGCATCTGAAGGGCAAGGACAGGGAGAGGGTATACACAAGCACAACAGGCAAGAAAGACAGGGGGAGAAGAGGAATTAGGAGAGAGGAAAGGGTTCAACATAAAGGAGAGGGGAAAGAAAGAAAGTTAGAAAGAGAGAGGGAGAGAGATGATGAGGAATGCTGTCAAGCTTTTAATACACTGCTTCAGATTTTCAAAAGACCTCAAGTGTGTCGTTCATTTCAGAGGGAATTTGGAGACAAATCATGCCAAAAGCACCAGCATACTAATATGCAGAAACAATAAAACCCTCTCTGCTTTTCATTATAGCAACTTAATATTTACTCTTGAAAATCATCATGGCCGACACACTTCAGGTGTTCAATTTCACACACAATCACAGAACTTCCCAAGATTAAACAACACGTCTAAACATCAGTGTGTGAAGAAAAACTGGATCCACAAAACATCTAGTATAATATACACAAATCCAATATCATAATACACTGTAGAAACCCTGCAAATACTAACCCGTTTTTTGTTCCATGGAATTTTTATAATATGCTTGTGACATATATTGAGGCATTTTGACTTGATCATTAACATTTCTAACATTAAATGAATGTCAGTAAAAAAGTTTTATTGCAATCCATCCAAAGGGTGTTGCAAAACAAAAAGCCAGGGGACCATCAAAGTCATTAGAATCATTCATGTCTGCTAGAAATTATGTTTATATATAATTGCTACCAGGATTGTGATTGAAGGGAAAATATTTTCAAGGGAACTACATTGTACCCCATAGAATTCATTGGGAGGTGGTCAGGGTTTGCTTTTGCAAATTAGTAGTATATAAACGTACTTTCTAGGAGACAGGGTTGTTATAATACATTGGCCGCAAAGTTTGTGCCAATTAATCTAGTAAAAATGGAAAAAGACAACCTTTGACCTGCTGGTGGTACAGCTGCTGTTTGGCTATTAATTTGGAAGAGTTTTGAAAGTTGAAAGTCCCTGCTGCACTGTAGAGATATCTAAAAAGTTAGAAACTCTAAATTCCTGCTATGAAAAAGGCAATGGAAGGAATGTGGGAAACTCAAGCAAGATTTCTCAACCTGGAGGTTTCTCAGGTTCAGCGATCAAACAATCAACATAGCAGAATACAGTTTAAATACTACATATTGTAATTCATAAATTATACATCAGCCCTTGAATAAAAATACCAAAAACCATGGTCAATGATACATTTTTTTAGGTGGCACTCAGTTTTTAACATTCTACACTAACTTGCTTATTGGAAAACATGCTTTACATTAACAAAGAAATTCTTGCGAGCATCAGTGTTCTTCAGACGGGAATAAACTGTAATTCCTGCACCTCTTATACACCTTACAATGAGAGTTTCCAAATTTTTCTTTCCCATTCAATATTTTATTTGGCTGCTCCAAAACTTTATTTGGAAACATGAAGTTTAGAAACAGTTATCTGAGCAGCTGTTTATCTCAACATAAGCAAGCAGTCATCACATTTATAATTCCATTTTGAGGGCAAAGTACAAATGCAGGTTATTTTCTCCCACAGATTATTCCACATAAACAAATGCACATGTGGTTTATAGACAGGACGGAATAAACAGGATTTGGTGGTCCAAGACAGCTCAGGCTTTGCGGCTTTGCATTTCAAGCACGGCTTTCTTAGCTCTCATCATTCGTTTTGGCATTTGATGACATTTCTACAAACCCGGACTAATACATTTCTTAATTTTTTTATTTCCATCTTTGCATGCAACCTGTGAGTGCATTTCAGCAGAGAATTCTTTATTTAAAAAACACTGAATGCATGCAATATTTCGGTGACCTCACTCAGATCATCACACATTTTTTTAAGTAGTTTATTATAGTTTTTTCTTTTCTTTTTAAATTACACCCTGCGAAAGGTTGAAACTTGCTGATGTCATCAGATACCAACACAAGTCAATGTCAGCAAATCTTCATTGTGATCAATGATTTACTTGTTCTCCATTTGCTTTAAGAAAAATCATGAAAAGGTTGAACAGCATTTTTTAACATGAAGTCAGATTTTTACTTCCCAGCAACAAAACACAAGGCCTAACTTAGCTGTGTCACACTCAGAGATGCAAAGAACATGGTCTCCCGTAAACGCTGAGACCAGCAAAAAGCTTTCAATCGCTCTGCTAAGAAATATGAAACTTAGTCTGTAGAAAGAAACTCCGGCAGCTAACGTTCGTAAAAATCATACTCAGAATCAGAAGGAGCTTTATTAGTGTTTTACACATACAAGGAATTCACTTTGGTGATAAGGTGCTATATGCAAGCAAACATACAGTTGACATAAATAGATGTAGAAATATATAAATATGGAATAAACAAATGCAAGTTATTTTAAAAATAATAGAAGAATAGAGAAAAATAATACAACTATTTGCAGAGAAAGAACAACTTGGCAGATATTTACATGTGCATTACTCTGGTTTGTGTTGAGCAGACGTATTGCAATGGAGGAGGATGTTATGTGCATAAATACATAAATTGACAATATAAAAAAATAAAAATAACAATAAAACAACAACAATTAACAGTTAACAACAAATATGTGCAATGTGCCAGGTTTGTGCATGATATAAAATGAAGTGATATTTACATGTGCAGAGAGACTGTATTATTTGAAAGGGGGAAGTGTCAGTGAGGAACCTGGGCCTTGTTAATGAGACTAGCTGCAGACGGGTAGAAGCTGTCTTTGTGGCAAGAGGTTTGTGACCGGGATGGGAGGGGTCAGCTGCAATATTTCCTTCTCACCTCAGATTCCTGGAGGCGTACAGGTCCTGAAGAGGAGGAAGATTGTAGCCAATCACCTGTTCTGCAGAGCCAATGATATGCTGCAGCCTGCCCTTGTCCCTGGCAGTGGCAGCAGCATATCAGATGGGGATGGAGGATAAAGTGAGGATGGACTCACGGATGGCAGTGTAGAAGTGCACCATCACTGTCTTTGGCAGGCTGAAATTCTTCAGCCGCCGCAGGAAGTACATCCTCTGCTGGGCCTTCTTGGTGATGGAGGTGATGTTCAGTTCCCACTTGAGGTCCTGGGAGATGATGGTGCCCAGGAAGCGGAAGGAGTCCACAGTGGTGACTGGGGAGTCACACAGGATGATGTGGGAGGGTCGGGCTGTGCTCTTTCTGAAGTCCACGACCATCTCCACTGTCTTCAGAGCGTTGAGCTCCAGACTGTTCTGGCTGCACCAGGTCACCAGATGGTCGATCTCACACCTGTAGGCGAACTCAACCCCACCAGAGATGAGCCCAATGAGGGTGGTGTCGTCCACAAACTTCAGGAGTTTGACAGACTGGTGACTGGAGGTGCAGCTGTTGATATACAGGGAGAAGAGCAGAGGGGAATGAATGCAACCCTGAGGTGAACCATTGCTGATGTTCCTGAAGTCAGAGACATGTTTTCCCCATCTTCACGTGCTGCTTCCTGTCTGTCAGGAAGTCAGTGATCCACCTGCAGGTGGAGTCAGGCATGTTCAGCTGAGAGAGATTGTCCTGCAGCAGGGCCGGGATGATGGTACTGAAAGCAGAGCTGAAATCCACAAACAGGATCCTGGCATAGGTTCCTGGGGAGTCCAGGTGCTGGAAGTGAAGGGCCATGTTAACTGTATCATCTACAGACCTGTTGGCAAACCGCAGGGGGTCAAGAAGAGGGTTTGTGATGGATTTAAGGTGGGACAACACAATACTTCATTAACAGAGAGGTCAGGGTGACCATGTCTGTCCCTTTATGACCAGTGTACCCATCCTCTGATGGCTACTTCCAGCAGGATAATGCACCATGTCACAAAGCTCAATCATCTCAAAATGGTTGAAAATGACAATGCAAAAGGGGGTCTAACCCAGTACTAGCAAGATGTACCTAAAAAAGTGGACAGTGAGTGTGTATACTCTGCTCAGATTGGGTACTTATTTTTGTCACTATCACAGTACTGGCGCACAAGTTTTTGATGCAATCCTTTTCTTATTCAAGTCCCAGGGCTCATTCTCAGTTTTATCGTACAGAATTGGGAAACCACTGATCACAACAATCATCATGTTTTACATATTATCTTTTACAATACAGTAGTTGAGTGGAGTAGAAAACGACTTCAGGTTAGGGAATTAAAATGAGTGTGCTTGGTTGTCACCATGTTGTTGCTCCTGAACATCAGACTATCTCAACTTACCCACATTGCGCTGCTGGATGCCTTTTGAGTCTTTGAGTTGTGGTGATTGATATGCTTTTCAAAATGGCCACCTTGATGTTGTCCTATTAAAGGACAACATCAAGGAATCAAAGGAATGTGGAAGTGGATGCAGAACCATCCCTTCATAATCAATATGTAATGTCACCATATGTTTGAGTATAGTCTTTTATCTCTACATAGTGCCTTAAAGCCAATGAAGGTACAAAATGAATTGAACATTTCAAATCATCACAAGCCATTGCCTGGTTGCATTAAACCCATAAACTGACCAAATACTGTATGTTTTTCTGAAACTTTTGTTTATAAAAGTATATTGCTTAATAGAACTCTACCATGCAAGCCAGTCTTGTTAGAACCCAATGAGACATAAAGGCTTTTTATTAAAAATTAAAGTCTCTCTAACATAGGTTAATGGGGCTCTGCTTAAGGCAGTAAAGATTGTCGCTATCACTTGCCAGTCTGTAAAGGAGCAAAAGCTCATCAGGAGGAGAATGTGAGCAATTTGCAGTTTGAGGACCACCTGTTGTAAACTCATAATATCCACGTCCCCGAAGATGGGAGTAAGGAGCAGGAAATAGACAGAGTAAATATGTTTTGCAGTTCTGTACCTACAGTATGAAAACATACATATATGTATCATGGTCTCACCATAGCAACATATTGTAAATGCTTAGTAAAAATGTAAAAGATATCATAACTGTAAGGAAAAAAAATAAGTGATGTAGCTTGCATTTCTGCACCTATTTTGTTTAATGTTATCACAGGTAATAGGCTAAAT